GAGAGTGTGTGTGTGTGTGTGTGTGTGTGTGTGTGTGTGTGTGTGTGTGTGTGTGTGTGTGTGTGTGTGTGTGTGTGTGTGTGTGTGTGTGTGTGTGTCTGCTGTGGGAACCTTGCGCGCACTTGCCCACGCTTCACCCACGCTTTAGCCAGCACACTTCTTCACCTACGCTACTTTCACCCACACTTCACTGGCGCTTACTCTGCCATGCGTAGGGGACTTTGTGATTGTGGACCCGATTGAGGAGGGTGACAAGGTCAAGGGCGAGATTTGCTTTATTCTCTTACCGGACCATATCAAACACTTGCTGGAGGAAGACAACTGGTATGCGTTGTGCCATGCAACAGCACAGTGTGCTGCTGTATATGTGCGTGCGTGTGTGTGTGTGTGCGATGTGCTTTGTGATATGCGCGCTCTGTACAACGCTTGTAACGTTTTGCTTCCGTGGTTGTCCTTGCAGGCCAAAGCAGTTCAAGGCAGCAGCAGAGAAGAAGCTTGGAAACGCGAGGTGCGAGCGGCGTGGGGCAGTCGCGTCCCGGACAGGGACGGATGCAGGCACAGATGCAAGGAGTCACAGATACATGCACACACACACAGTCAACACACACAGACACGCACAGACACACACAGACACACACACACACACACACATACATCATCATCATGGCTGCGCACTCACGGGCATCTGTCTGCATTGCAGATCATCTGAAGGAGACGCAGCGCGTGCAAGTCGCAGTCATGACGGAGACGACGAGGACGGCAGTGACGGTGGTGATGGAGAGACGAACGACGACTGGATGATGATGCGCAACCCGAATCGCATGTGTTCGGAAGATGACGATGATTCCTCTGCCGACGAGGACGAGGAGTCGAGCTAGGCGTGCGTGCGTGCGTGTGTGTGTAAGTGCGTATTTGTGTGTGTGTGTGTGTTTGAGTAAGTGAGTGTGCGTGTGTGTTTGAGTAAGTGAGTGTGCGTGTGTGTTTGAGTAAGTGAGTGTGTGTGTGTGTGTTTGAGTGAGTGAGTGAGTGAGTGTGTGTGCGTGCTCTCTGCAGCATTGTGTTCTCGATTCGTGGCGAGTCCTGGCACAAGCTATGTTATCTTGTATTGCTTTACATAACTGCAACAGAGGGGTGTACCCTCGCAACTCCCAATAGTCAAAGAAAGCAACCCAATTAGCACGCAAGGAAGCAGGAAGAGCACACACACACACACACACACACACACACACACACACACACACACACACACAACAGAGTGTACAGGGCGATTTAGTCTGTGAGTGCGTGTGCAGTCCCATTACAGCTGGACGAGGAGTGGTCGTTTAAGTGGCGGCTCCGCATCTCTGCTCTCTTGAGAATGCACGCGTCGCACCCTGCAAACACACACACACACACATGCACGAAGTGTGAGTGTGATGCAATCATATGGCAGCCCACATCTCCCACATCGCCTGAGACACACATTGCGCCTGCCAACTGCGACCTTCGTACCTCATGTCACCAATGGCTTTGGGTGTCATCGTCGTCGTCGTCGTCGTCGTTTTTGGTGTTGTTGTTGTTGTTGTTGCCGTTGCCGTCGTGGCGTCGTCGGTGCTGGCTTGCGTGTCGCTGTGCTCTCCCTGATCCTCTTGTCCATCATCATCAGTCACCGCCATCGGCCCATCACCGACATCATCGCCGAGTGCACGGTCAGCGAATGCACCACCAATCTCCTCGCGTGCCGTTCTCCGCAGCGCTGCGATGCTGCGGCTGCTGCTCAACTTGTGCATTGCACGCTGCGTTTGCTCAAAATCCTGCACGGAGTGAGACATGGCCGGGATTTGCGGGCATGGAGGGACGAGAGAAGGTGTCGGTGTCAACAATCAGTTGCAATCACAAGTCGGGAAGCAGGCGAGCTTGTGACACACACACACACACACACACACACACACACACACACACACACACACACACACACAACGACGACGGACGACGAC